GTCATCAGGGCAAGAATTAGGATTTTTTGTACCATATATCACACGACACGACGTATGGTCAAATTCTCAATTTTATCATACACGAGTTAGATACAAAAAACAGAGGAAAAAGAGAGAGATTTAAGTGAGAGAGAAGTAGCAGACCAAGAGAGCTCTATTAAGGCTTGGATTGTGAAAGCATTTAAAGTATTTTGAAGTTTCTAAACATTAGAGGTAAATTTTGTAAGCCTAAATCTTCCTTCCTCTTACATTTTCTTAATGTTGGGAGTTAGGGTTTATTTGAGGAAGATCATTTTAGATCCATAGAGTCTATGGGTTTGAACATATTAACTTAAATAAAGTTAATGAGAGTTTTTTAAGTTATTTAAGCTTAGCATTTATGGCTCTATACATTTTTGGTAGTTGGGAGCCATAAATACGTAAAAATCTACCATAAATAAGGTGATTGGATCAATGTGATGCCATTAATGGCCAGTTGGAAGTTCAATAAAATTTATGGGAGTTAGAAGAAAATAATAAACCCTATAAGTACTCTTATATAAGAGAAGATTAAGTTGTGAGATTTGAAAATATTGATTTAGATATTGAAAATTAGAAATTATCTACAAAGGGTATTGATGATTAATGTTGTGATTAAATCTAGAGTAATTACAACTTGGCACCATTCAGGTTTAGATTAGCTTTAAAAGTGTGTAGTTAAAGGGTAAACCTTTGAACTCTCAAAAGTTTGATGTAATTGAAAGAAAATCTTCCTTACACTTTTATGTATTAATTAATTTATTAATTTAAATGTTATAAATGAAATGCATGAAATTATTTCACATGCAAGTGTGGTATAAAATATTTGATAATTAAATATTATATTTTTATGGAGTCAATTACTTAATGCGTGTGAAGTTCAATAAAATAGTGTTTGCGGAGTTCAATGACATGGTTTATATGGAGTTTTATGAATGTTTGTAAATGAAGTTCAATGATGTGACGTGTTTATAGAGTTCAATGAAATGTGAGCAATGTTGAGTTTAATGATTTTTTAAAATGTGGAGTTCCATGAGTGTTTGGAAATAAAGTTCAATGACATAATGTGTTATAGAGTTTGATGATATGTATTATATAATTATGTGATGAACTTGAGTAATGTGAGTATGATAAGAAGGTAAAGTATGCACATGTAGTGATTACTTATATACTATGAGAAATTGCATTTTTATGCACTGCATGATCATGAGAGGCGGGAGGTCGCCTAGGAAGAGAAGTAGTGAGTTGCAATCCATGTGGTAAGGCTACTATTGGAGCTCAATGGTGTGCCTGGACCTCAATGTTTTATTATCCTACTTATTTTATGAGGAACTCGAACCTAACTAAGTTCTTTCACTTGTTCAACGAGAAAGCTAGTTTAGGGAGAATAACACCTTGCAGTGTGTGATTTGGCTGAGTAACCTCTCACACTAAATAGCTAGAGTAGTCTCATCACATGGACGATCTTAGTATGTAATAGCCCACAGTTTCATATCGAAGGCATAAGGAGGATATAAGCAAAGTGTGATTAAAAGGGCATATGGTTGTTTATGTTGTGATCCTCATGATAAAAACAAGTGGTTAGTTTTGTAACAAAGTGAAAATGAGCTATTGTGTCATTTCATGAATATATGCTTCTAATGATGTAAAATGCAAATAGGTGCTTGAACATGTTAATTTGACGTGTGTATGACAATTGTTTTCGTTTGTATTTAGATTAATTGACATGCATTAATATAAGTTAGATAGATCCTAATTACTGAGTAACTGTACTCACCCCTTTCTCTTCAGTATTACAAGAGCTAGCTCATTGAGACAAGACCAAGGAAAAACTGACTAAAGCTTAGGATTTCAATTATAAAATTGTAGGCCTCTTTTATTTGAGTAATATACGTATAAGTATTGATAATGTTGTCAACTAGAAGTTTTCACTATGTATTGATTAGTGTTAAATTGAGTATTTTGGGTCGAAAGGTGTATATGTATTGATTGTGACATCTAAAATAAGGTCAAAATATTAGTTCAAGTAAGGAATGAGTATTACATATGATTGATGATGTTTATTGAATGATTTATGTTATTGTGGCTCCTCTTTCTATTTTTGTGATTTAGGGGTTAAGCATTGAAAATATGTTATATATATTATTTGTGAGATATGGTGTATTGAACAGGTTCATTATGGCTTATAGAGTGTGGTTTGGGGTGTAAATTAGGCTCATGGTACTTGAAACATGAAATTGGGCACCCAAGTTGTGTAATAAGATTGAAAAGGCGTGAGTTTTGAAATGAGTGTCTAACTTTTGCTTGAAAAATGTTATAATTGTGAAATCAGCACCATTGGCTAGAGTTAGGAGAAAGCTCTATTTAGATACCTAGATTGCCTCAATGGACGTCAGCTAAAAAAATGGGGCACGTTGAAAATCTGCCCTTGTTACTATCAAATGACAGCAATACTGCTATAAAAAATGTACAATGTGCCACGGCACATGGCACTTAAGGTGTGGAGCATGGCATAGAGAAAACACATTATACTATGCATATTTGACAAGCCATGGCACACCTTTGCTTTTCTGCATTGTTTTGCTGTTTTTAAATATTTTGCAAATGCTTTGGCTCTTTTTGTATTCATATGCTTTTGCATGCTATTCACACTCTAATTTGGACTTGTAAAGACGTTTTAACATGTTGAAAAATCTTCAAAAACTTGGAATTTTATCTTATAAATTTTGTAAACTTGGTAATCCTATTTAGATTAATCATTTAATTGCCTCGATTTTAGAGTAAATTGAAAATTAGTAAGGGAGATCTTAAAACCAGGACTAACGACTTCAACTTGGACTAAACTGGAAATCTCTATTAGGACTAAACCACTGGCGTTGACAAGGACAAGATGCAGACACCTATCGGGAGTGGAGTGCTAGCAACTACTAAGACCGAACAGCCTACTTCCACTGAGATTAGACCACCGGTGTTGACCAGGACTAACGAGCAAGGGATGACCATTATAGAACAGCCAACTTCCACCGAGACCAGATTGCCAACATCGATAGGGACAGGAGCATAGGAGACAATCGAGACCAAACAGTTGACTTCAATCGAGACCAGATCGCCAGCACTAACCGAGACAAGATTGCTAGTAATGACCAAGACTGGACTTTTGAGCCTAATTAGGATTAGACAACCCCCTGTGATTGAGATCTAATGGCCGACTCCCATCATGATTGGGACCGACAACTTCGATTGGTACCGGATCAACGACGTCTACTTAGACCAAATCACTGACGATCCAATCCTAGTCAACACCAATAGTCATGTCCTTGTCTTCGTTGAGGGTCAAGGTCGCTGGTTTGGTCCTTGTCGAAGTTGTCAAACCTGGTTATGGTGGGAGGAGGCTGTCTAGTCTTGGTTGGCACCGATGGTGTTGGCCTGGTTGACACCAACAATTTTGTCCGGTTCAATGCTAGCAGTTTGATCTTTGTTTAAATAGGCCATCCGGTCTCGGTTGGCACTAACGATCCACTCCTGATGGAAGTAAGCTATCCAAACTGCCGACTTTAACTTGGATTGGACCATCGACGTGTTTCGAGTTGCTTTTAAATTCATACATAGAATTTAAAATTTAAAATTTTATTTAATATCCAAATAAAGAATTTTAATATTATAATTTAAATTTTTTTATATTATCCAAACAAATAATTTAGAGTATTTAAATTTTAAATCTAAATTTTAAATTTAAATTCACTAATTCAAATGCAACCTATATTAATATTAAAACTTTTTTAAATATAACGATTTAACGTAATTCTACTGAGCGTGGCACTGGCAGGCGCGCTTGCCTTCGTTGAACCAAGAATACAAATAAGGAGAACAACAGAACAACACGCTTTCTCCTTACCGCGGAGGCTGGGAAAACATGTGGATCATTCCCAGCACACCCGAGGCGCCAAATATTCCCCGCGTCATTCGCCTTATATATATATTGCGTCAATTTTGATATGACACGAAAGGTACTAATAATACTCATTAGTAAGGAACGAAGTACTCTCTTTAAAAAAATAGAATATAATTATTACTCTCTATAATTTTTTTAATATGTTTGATTTTTATAAGGATTGAAACTATTAAAATTATAGAGATTTAAGTAACAAATATCACACAATTTTATTAAAATTATTGAGTTTCAAAATATTGAAAAAATTATAGAAATTAAAAAAAAAATTAATAAAACTATAAGAATTGATGATTATAATTTTTTCCAACAAAGAAAAAAGGAATTAAGAATAGTCAATTACTCAATTTTTTTTTTTACCAACTCAATTACTCAATTTTGATCTCTCTCTGGTTTTTTTTTCTTTTGAAAAAAAAAAATAAAGCACGTTTGGCCTTAGTTTTAGGTTGGAGCTTGTGCCCCTATTACTATTACGAGATCCCAATTTGACGCATTGATTTATTACTTAATCACCGTTTATGTTTTGAATTACGCAAAGCATTAAGAGACGAATTCAACTTAACTTCCTTATCCGTACATAAAGTCAACAAAGAAACAACCCCCTTTTCACACTCTAATCCAATTATATCCATTTAAAAATAAATAAATCATAATATATGATCTTTCAATTTTGTTGAATTTTACTTTTAACTTTAATAGTTTTTTAGTATATTTAATTTTTAGGAATTGAAAATATTAAAATTATAAGAACTTAAATAACAAGCATCAACTAATTTTATTAAAATTATAAAGATTAAAAATACTGAAAAAATTATAAAATTAAAAGTAAAACTCAATAAAATTACAAGAATTCGCTTGAAAAAAAAAAAAAAGAAGCACACGTTTATAAACTGTTTGCAAAGATGTCAAACCATTTACAAATTTTATACTCATCTTTGTATGAAGTTGAAACACATACCAGAAAATTCAATAACTTCGTATTCTTATCAAGCAAGCATGAAGAAAAGAAAACCCAGAAAATGAATTTAACTCATAATATCAGAACCATTCATTGTATTAGTATAACTAATTGGATGCCGCTTTTTCATTTTCAGTAAGAACATTTTTGACAAGAGAATCATCAATTCTAGCCGATTCCTGCTTCACCCACAGGATCATCCTCTCTGCTTCACTGCTCACCTTCTCTTCATCTTCCTTGGCCTTCTTCAACCTCCTCTCTTGCTCTTCAACACTGAAAGTGCTCATATCAGAAAGCATCTCTCCGTTCTTCCCCCAATTATCTCCCGGTCTCTGTTCTGAACTATTCTGAATTCCACTCACGCTTTTGCTCCTTCCGACACTGCTCTTCTTCACGCTAAAGCAGAAGCAACATCCTCCTTTGAACTCTGACCCCATCACTTCACTTGTTTACAATATCAGTTCAATTTGGGTTTGAAGTGATCTGAGAAGGTTTTTTTTTTCTTTTTTTTTTTTGGCACCAATAAGGGGAAAGAGAGACGAGGGATCGATGATTCCGTTTGGTTGGGTCTTATCTTTTTTTCCCCCACCTCTGCACGAGGTTATGAAGAGATTGTTTGGTTTGCGATGGGACCCATTTGCAGCCAATGAAATTACTGGTTTGTCGAGTTGTTGAGAGTCTTGCCTGCGTCAGTGCTTATGTGGGTAATGCCAAAGGCCATAGCCATTTGTTTGAAGTTTACTCCATATTCCTGCCAAAAGCTTGTTTATCAAAGCAATTTGTCGTCCAGAAAATAAATTAATAAAATGAAACAAATTTACTTATAATGATGAATTTTATCATTGGCCAAAAAATATTAGCGGCAAGAATAAAAATTAAAAGTAAAAAAATTAAGTGAATGTGATAAAGATGGAAGAGATTTGAGCTCTTTGAGCATCATTTCAGAATTTAATTATTAAAAATGTGTATGAAAAGCATCTCTTGAAATATGACAATTCCTTAGATGACATTTAAATTTTTTAAGAGATTAATCTCACAATTATCTGCTGTGGGATGACTTAAAAAAACAAATTAAAATGAAAAACCAATTGCACTCCATGCATGCATACCAATTATCATCATCATCATCATTATTATTTTGTAAATACTAACTATCATTATCGATCAGGTAACTTATGTGGTTATCTAAAAAAATAAAAATAAAAATTCTTTTAAACACAAAATCCAAAAAATACATGAATTTTGTATCTTCAATCACACAACAAATTGCTAGCTGTGAACATGTTAAAACGTGAGCTGTAAATTTTAAAAAATCACTATTCATTCCCCCCTCAGTTATTAATTTAAAAAATACTATTCCTGGAGGGTTTTTTTTTTTAAATATAGAATATAGGACTTTGAAGATACTTATTTTGTGCGTTAATGAATTATTTCAATTTTAATTTTAATTATGAATTTTCCCCAGAAAGAAGAAAAATGATTCAAAAGCATGATGAAGAAAAGCTAACAAAAAATGTACTTAGCGGCAAATTTGATGAATATAATTAACTTCAATCAATTTTTTAATAGGTGTGATTAGCTAGCATGTCTAATATTATTTTTTTAGAATACAAAGCCACAGTCAAAACTATGCAATGAGACTAAGATCAGATTAAGTTAGAAGCTATGAGACTCTTACAATTAGAAGGTGATCTATCAAATAACATAATATCAAAATGATCTTTGGAAGCCTTGTGGGCTAGAAGATCAGCAAATCCATTTGCTTCTCTATAAACATGATCAAATGTGATCTCTCAGTTTCGCATGGTGAGATTCCTAATGTTTCTAATAATAGCTGAGAGAAGATGGCTATCAGCGAGATTGCAATCAATGAGGGATAGAACCTGTATAGAATTCAAGTAGACATTTACTGTAGTGAGCTTAGCACTCTAGCAAAGGTTAAGCCATTCCATTATTCCTAAAAGTTCAGCAATAGTGCTAGGTTGATAGCCAAGATTTTTAGAGAAACTCTTAATCCAATTACCCTTAGGCTTTGTTTGGTAGGAAGGATTGGGAGTATAGGATTGGGAATGGGATTGAATAATCCCACCTTTTCATGTTTGGTATGAGGGAATGGAAAATTTAATCCCAATCCAATCCCATCTAGGTGGGTTTATCCAATACCACCACCCTTGGTATTAAAAAATTAATCCTAAGTTTGATTATTTTTGGACCATATTGCCTTTACCTCTCACACTTATCTCTCTTCCTTGGCCCTTACTCAGTAGACGCACTTTCAGACTAAGCAACGCCGACACCGATGCCCCTTTAATCCGTTAATGTTGATGCCGTCCTCTACCAATGACTTTCTCATCCACTGACGCTACTACCAGATCTGAAGGGAGAAGGAGATTGAAATGAGAGAAGGAGAATGATTGATGACCTAAGCCTTTCCTCCACGACACAAACCTGAGCTATGACCACCTGAACCCTTGTAGATGACGGCCACATTGGCAACCTCACTGCAAAACCACTCCTGATTAAGTCACCGATATACCTGATTGTTTCTATAGGTATGATCTTTAAAATTCATTGCGTAGTTGAGAGCATCGTAAATGGAAATCAGCGAACTGACGGTACTTTGGTGGGATCCAATCAACCAGATGAAGTCATTGCACTTGTTCTTAAAGTGCAACGAGTTCTAAAATGTGATAGACTTGGGGGTGAAAATTGGGTAATGGGGCCATAAAGAAGAACAACCCAAATTACTTCAGAACCTTTAGTTTCTCCAGAGGGCTAATATAATCTTTTCTTAATTATATTTAATTGTAAAAAAAAATAAAAGGAAATATTCCTCACAAATATTACCCCATACCAAATATAATTTTAAAACCTCATTCCCACTTTTAATCCCAATCCCAATTGCAATCTGTAACATCTCAATTTAAATTTTAATAGTTAATTTGGGTTAATAGAAATTTTAAAAAATATTTAGAGGTAAGCAAATTAGTAGGAGATGATTATTAAATCTAACTTAGGATATAATTATAAATTAAAATTAAAAAAATTAAAAAAATAAAATAATAAAAAAATATTATTAAATTTTATTATTATAATAAAAAAAGTAAAAGGTATTAAAAAAAAGGGACGAAGAAGAAGAAAGTTTGGCTTCCTCTTTCGGCGTCCGTGCAATCATTGTATAAAATAATTAAAAAAGAAGAAGAAGAAGAGAGAGGAAAGAAGAAAAATAATAAAAAAATATGGGACCCACTGAATTTTTTTATAAAAACTCACCTGTTTTCTTCATTTCTTCATTCTTTCCTTCGTGAGTGAGCTGAAGCAGAGAGAGCATCTGTGAGCCAAGTTCGTCGATGCGGAAGATCTAAATTTTTAAGGTAAGAGTTTTTAATAAGATATTTAGGGTGTGATTTCAAGCTTTTCAAGACTAAGTAAGTGTTCTAAAAATTTTTCTTAGTCATCCTTCCTCTTTGGTTTCTGATTTTGTAGTGGTAGAAAATTTAGGATTTGGAAGAGGGATGAATTTATGTTGAATAAATATGTTTTTGAGGTTGTTAGTAGTATAATAAATGTTCTAGAGTATAAATTTATTGATGATCTTTGAAATTTGTGGCTTATGGATCAAATTCTAAACTAGATCTAAAAATATATGTTGATTTATTGAGGTTTAGATGATTATTTGGGATGAGAAATGAACTATTATGGCTATAGGATTATGATTCTAAGCTAGAGATTTAATTTTTAATTTTTGGATATTTTAATTGCGAATTTATGAAATAAAAAGAAAATTTTGATAATAGAAATTAGTTTAGAAGTTGATTTTTAGATTATTAATGTTTATTGATGAGTAAAAGAGGAGTTAAAAATTTTACTTAATAGTATTAACTCTAGATTTGTATTAAGATTGAGATTAGAATTATGTTATATTTTTAATTCTATTATTAAAATTATTTTATTATTTTTAAAAATTGAAACTAATATTTATAAATAATATGTTATTTGTAGATTGTATTATTGGTGAAGATTGTGGTGGGAGAAAATTATAAGGAATAATTTATTGAAAAAGCCACGAGGTAACCATGCTTTTAATTTGTGATTAGTGTTACTTCATGTTAGTTGGGTGATTGTTGAGAAAATTATAAATTTTATAACATTATATAATTGTGCAATATTATTATGAATTTGTTTGGTTATTGTGGGAGGTGTTGGGAGACTTGTATTGTTGTTGTATTTATATGCCACGTGGTACGCCCCTATTGGAGCTCAATAGGTGGCTTGTAAGGGCTCGAGCTAATCTACCTTTGGCTGGGTAATTTAGCACCGAGTAAGGGCTACGGCTCGAGGTTAATGGAGGGATATAAGGATGGTTGTTTGTGTGTATTGTAATATTTCTTATATTTGTTAGAATTATATTATTTTTAATTCTCACTTAATAAGCACACACTTAACTATTTGTATACACTATCATAAATTGGCTTTGGTTACTGGGATTTTTGAGTCTCATTATGTGGTTAACAATTTTCAGGAGAAGAGCCACGAGTGACATGTGGAGGAGTCCTAAAGGCTTAGTGGTTTAGATCCACTGTCTCTCCTGGGTATTTGATTTATAATTTATAATGTGTTATATTGCCAATATTAGGGCTTTTTGTTTATTGACAATTATATAAATATATAAGTGTAATCATGTCTTTCAAACTATTTCTATTTTTGGTATACTTTGGATGACTGTAATTTTAATATTTGATTTACTTTGGATTAGTTAAAATGGCATGATTATGAAGCCAAATAATTGGCTTGTGTTGAAAATTAACTAAATTATTTATTTTACTTGTTGGGAGTATAAGGATGGACAAATGTGATTTAGTTTACTTGTTGGGAGTATAAGGATGGACAAATGTGATTTAGCCTAATGGCATGTGGGAGGTAAAAATTTATCTGAAATGTTATATTGTGTGAGTTGAAGCCAATTATAAAATATTTTATATTGAAATTATTAATATAAAAATGTGTTGGGTGGTTGTAACCCAACTATGGTTGAGTTAAATTATTTAAAAAAAAAATTGGTGTGTTACACAATCCCTCAAAATTGAGACCTGTATGCCAAACAAGATTTTATCATCTCTTATAAAGCCTTTACAAGCAGCTATACCATTACAGTTGGCAAAACCATCTATATCAAGTTTAACCCATCTCGTATTTGGTGGGTTCCATCTAGCTTCATTTCTAGTGTTGATTTTACTCAGAAGATCCACTTTAAATTGAAGCTTTAGGTCATTGATAATTTGTTGAGTGCAGGAAAAGGCGATGTTGTTGTTCAAGATAGTATCTTCTAAGTAGACTTTCTTACACCTGGCTTTCCATATGTTCCAACACACCTGAGAAATTTTTTTTTGCCACGGCAATCTTCTTGTAAATAGTCCGCCAGCCTTGTTTTAGCATTATAAATTATTCAATCTTATACAAAAAGAGAAAAGAAAGTATTATGTTTGATAGGGTTGATTAATTTGTACATACCTCTTTAACTTCCTTACAATCTCGTAAGATATAAATTGAAGAGTCAAGAGAGTTGTAACCAAGAGGGCAAACACGTTGATGATAATTATTCACATCAGAGTATGTAAAATTAACTTGAAGACGGTCTTAAGTAGCTTT